ACAAACATGTTTTTTCTTCCACACATATGGTTGCTTGCTCCTGTATCCAAATACCAAGTATTCTTTTCTCTGCTCTCTTCACCTTTGTAAGCCAGTAGTAGTGCAGGATCTACTTCACTTTCCTGACAAGCGTAGTTGGCTTTCTCCTCAACTTGGTTAGTAATATTTCTACATTCTGAAGCATAATGACCAAGTTTTTGACAATTGTAACATTTAATTTGAGATTTGTCATACCTTGGTCCTTCATTTTTTATTCTTTTCTCTGCTCTCTTCACCTTTGTAAGCCAATAGTAGTGCAGGATCTACTTCACTTTCCTGATAAGCGTAGTTGTCTTTCTCCTCAACTTGGTTAGTAATATTTCTACATTCTGAAGCATAATGACCAAGTTTTTGACAATTGTAACATTTAATTTGAGATTTGTCATACCTTGGTCCTTCATTTTGCCTCGTACCCTTTCCTCTTCCGCGACCTCTGGTAGAAAATGAACTTTGTCTTCTTTCCTCCTTGTAGAATGCAATTCTTCCTTGAGGCCTCGTTCTCTTTCTCTTTAGCACCTTCTTTCACCCTCGTTCAAAGTGAGCTTTGTTTGAAGAGCTTGCTCTAATGGCTCTTCTTTCACTTTCTTCCTTAGTCTTTCCTCATGGGCTTGTAAAGATCCTATGTGTTGATCAACACTCATACTATCTAAATCTTTGGATTTCTCAATGGCTACAACTATGTAGTCAAATTTAGAATCTAAAGACCTAAGTATCTTCTCAATTACTCGAGTGTCGTTCAACTTTTCTCCATTCCTTTTTAATTGATTCACAATAGCTAATACTCTAGAGAAGTAATCAGAAATTGATTCCGATTCTTTCATATGTAAAGCTTCAAACTCACCTCGAAGTGTTTGAAGTCGAACCTTTTTCACCTTCTCAACTCCTTTGTGGGAGTTTTGTAAGATCTCCCATGCTTCCTTACTTGTAGTAGCACAAGCTACTTTCTCGAACATGCCTTCATCTAAGGCTTGATAGATGAGGGTGAGCGCCTTCTTGTCCTTCTTCCTTGCATCCTTCAAACTATCCTTTTGTGTTTGGGATAGAGCAACCTCGTCTTGTGGCTCCGTGTAGTCTTTCTCTACGATCTCCCATGCATCTTGCGACCCGAGCAATGCTTTCATCCTTATACTCCAATTGTCATAGTTATCCTTATTGAGTTGGGGGACTTGAAAAGGAATCATCCCACTTGCCATTTTTCACAAGAACCTTGGGGCTCTGATACTAGTTTGTTGGAGGAAAGATGAGTTTACTAACTTGGATTGACTAAGACTTTTAAGAGGACAACACTAATAGGAAGAAGGAAGTGAAAAAGGAAACTTGTATTTCTCAAATTCAAGACTTTACACACTTTTTGGCTTGTTACAAAATGAAGGGCACTACCCCTTTATATAGTGTTTACAAGAAGATTCTAGTCCACACATTTTCTAGAGACACCTAGACCACATATCAAGATATTTTCCTAGAATTCTCTAGATATTCTTTATAAAACTACATATCTTACTTAGATATTTATATAGATTTTTCTAGTAGATATTTATATAGATTTTTCTAGATAACGCTTCTAGAAATGCTATGCATGTTGGGCCTTTTAATTGATTTGGGCCTATAAGCAAAATCCTTAAGCCCATATTATTTAGTCCAAAAATCAAGTTTACTACTCAACAAGATATCATAAGCGATATCGTCAAAACAAAGAGTTGGATCCACGAGAAACCAAATATCTTAACAAGAATGATGATGAAAGAAAGAACAATGCATGTTTAAAAATACTTGTTTAGGAAAGCAAGTATCCAATGCTGTGAAGGGAGTGATGAAAAATCGACCCGCTGGTAAAGATAACGTATCAAGTATTAGAGGAAGAATGAACAATGGAAGAAAAGTGAAAAATATTGCCCTGCGATAAAGTCGTAAAGAAAGAAGAATTGATGTCAAAAGGCGGGCCAATCACACCAAAAAATGACAATCCTGCCCCGAATGGGTAAAGGCAAGTTTTGACTCCATCAAAGAAATTCCAACCGAAGGCGAGATCTATTTTCCTAACGAAAAATGGGGACTAATTTCCACCCTAAAGGAAGTCGTTATCAAAAGGAGGATGAGGTCACGTCCATTTACAATGCACAATGTACACATGCATGCAAAAGCTATGGATGGAGAAGGAGAAATAATCTAAACCCTCAATGTTGATACAACGATTTAATAAAGTTTCATTTAAAAATCTGCAATATTGAAATCAGTACACGATCAACGGTTGTGATGTTGATGCAAACTCATTGTAAATACATCTATGAGAAACATACCGAAAAATAACAAATAAGAAATAACATAGAAGCATAATGCATCAAATGAATAAATTCGTACAATATAAAACAATAATATTACTAAGAAAAAGCACTTATACATTAACAAAGAATAAAATTCCTTGGTCATAATGAGGCAAAACAAGCCATCCGAACTAACTAAAGGCTAAAGATTCATGAAAAAAGGTCTTCCCGGTTAAACTTGGCCTTCGTCTCCTGAAGGTACCCTCGTTTTGTAGAAGCGGGAAAAGAAGTGTCAAGAGACTCATTAATAGTTACATCCCCACTTTGGGAGATAGTCGAAAAATCATATTGAGAGAACAGCAGGAATGGATGGACTATTCAAAGCCCCCGTAGCCAACAGATGAACCTCAAAAGATGAGATGTCTTCAAGCATTATCCTCAGGAGCTCTTAAAAGATCCAGATTCCATTCAGGATGAAAGTCCTTAAAATTTTGAGCACCATCCCGCATAGCCTCTTCAATTAATTTTGAGTCGCAAGTAATCGCTTCAGAAAGACTAGAATCCGCGATAACTAGCCCTAGCTCCGCCCTGAATTTCTTAATTTATTGCGAAACATATTTATTTCATTCTGTATATCATTTAGTTCCACAAGAGTATTTTCATGCTCAGAGTATTAAGAGAATTTCTTAATTTATTGCGAAACATAATTATCTGTACGATGCGAAGTGTCACGCTTAGTCTTAGCAACATAGACAGTGTGCTCTTCTTCGCCAAATCTAAATCTAAAAAGACCTTTCCAGCAAGCTATCAAAGAAGCCTCATTCACCGCAAAAGCTTCGACATCCTTACTCATCTCCTTGTATTCGTCATTTGCATCGCCAACCTCCTTCAACTTCTTCTAAAGATAATTACACTTCTTCATAGAGAGTCAGCTTTCTTGTCTAAGAGGGGTCGGCATTTTTTTTGTGCAATGCATAATTTTAAATAAGTAATGATAACTATATATTGATAAACCAAAAAAAGGTTAAAATGTTCACTATAATCGTTGTAAAAATGGGGCATAACCATGTACGGATGATGATTGCTGGGATGTAGCCCCAGTTTTCCAGGAGCAAAGAAAAAACCCTCCTTCCAATCATGGACTTTGTTGGGAGTAGTGATAAGCTTTGGGCACAACCTAGAGAAACAAGAAGCAAAATAATAATACATTTTGGGAGTGTGTTGTAGTCTCCACTTTTACCAAATTATAAATGAAATGGAAAACATCAAGAAGAAGTCCCCTCCAACACTCTAATATTCTACAACACAAATGACCAAACAATATGCCCCCATCCATTCGGGGCAAGTTGTGTAGGACAATACTCAGATGGGAAGGCATGATGCGAAAGAAAGGGTAAAAAGAAAGCCTAAGTCCCATGTCTATCGAACATTTACGATTCGACTCAAATTGTTCACAATTTCACTCAAGGTAAGAAGAATTTTGATCTAATGCTTAGTGTTAAAAATTCATTTTTGATACTGAAGGAATTTGATACAAACAATTTTTGGAACGGAAGTATTTTGAAAAAGACCTTGTTAAAGCCTCTACTTCCCCTCTTCCGAAGGGCACATGTAGTTTTTCAATAAAAATGGATATGCATCCTTTAATCGTTCAATCAAAAAGAGACTACATTTTGAAGGTAACTACAAATCGATTGAATATTCCACTAACACTAAGTATCAAGGACACAAGGTTGTATGAATACCAAAGACCAAAACTTGAAATATTTTTGTAGGTACTAAAGAAAATAAAGAACAAATGGTTCTTGAATAGTGGATGCTCAAAGCACATGATGGGAGATCAAGCTTTATTGTCAAGCTAGAAAAATAAGGTTGGATGTCATGTTACTTTTGGAGATAATGCCAAAAGAAAAAATGCCGAAAGAAAAATCATTGGCGTTGGAAAAATTGGTAATCTTTCATCTCCCTCTATTGAAAATGTTCTATTAGTTGATAACATCAAACATAATTTATTTAGCATTAGTCAATTATGTGATAAAGGATATCATATTAAATTTGATTCTTCTAAGTGCCTTATTAAGAATACCATATCAAATGAGGTGATGTAGGATACTACATCAAAACTAGTGATATTTATAGGAACTCGAGGTAAGGATGTTTATGTCATAAATATTATGTTTGAAAGTGAAGAAAATATATTTATCAAGCTTAAAGAAGTTACTTGAATGTGGCATAGAAGATTAAGACATGTTTAGAAGGGCCTACTTTCAAATATTTGAAAAATTGTTTTGTTAAAGGTATGCCAAATTTGAAATTTGAGAAAGACAAAATTTGTGATACATGTATATTTGGAAAATAAGTGAAGATCTCTTTCAAATGAAATCAATACTCTACAACTACAAGACCTTTACAACTTTTTTATATGGATCTTTCTGAAACATCTAGAATTGCAAGCTTAAGTGGTAAAAACTTTCATCATTGTTGATGACTTTTCTATATTTACTTGAGTCATATTAGTGAACCTAATGGATGAAACTTTGAATGCATTTAACCATCTTTTTAAAGATGTTAAAAATTAAAATGGGTACACTATTATTACCATTTGAAGTGATTATGGTTGAGAATTTGACAATGTTACATTTGATGATTTTTGCAAAATTAATTGCCATGAACATTATTTCTTGACTTCTAGAACTCCTCAACAAAATGATGTTTATTAGAAAGAAAGAATCACAAATTACAAGAAATGGTTTGGGCTATGTTAAATGAAAATGGTGTACCAAAATAAATTTTGACCGAAGTCGTAACCACGGTTTTGATATTGTGAATAGAGCCTTCGTTAGTCAAAACTCTGTATGAACTTTGGAAAAATAGAGTTCCCAATATCAGTTATTTCAAAGTATTTGGCTGTAAATGTTTTATCTTGAACACTAAAGAAAGTTTGGAAAAAATTGATTCAAAGTCTGATATTGGAATTTTTCTTAGATATTTATCCATTAAGTTTTTAATCAAAGAATTTTAGTCGTTGAAGAATCTATACATGTAACTTTTAATGAAACTAATCTTCTTGATCAAGAGAAAGGTATTGATGAGGATGTAGGTTAAGAGATTCCTTTTGAGCAAATGAACATCCAAAATCAAAACAAGAAAGATCCCATAAATTATGAGGAACAACTAAGGAGGAAGCAAATGTACAACAAGATGAAGAAAAATCTATCGAAGTACAAAGTGATCAATTTCAACCTAAGGAATGGAGGATTATCCATTTTCATCCAAAAGAGCTCATTATTGGTGATCTTTCCAAAGTTGCAAGTATTAGGGCTTGTACTAGTAATCATTTTAATAATTGTGCTTTTATTCGCCGAGTTTGATGAATTTTGGATTCTAGCTATACAAGAAGAACTAAATCAATTTGAAAGAAATCATCTTTGAGAAATTAGCTAAACCAAGTCATCAAATCATCATCGATATCAAATAGATTTTTAGAAATAAACAAGATAAAAATGGAATTATTGTATGTAACAAGGCTATATCAGTGGTCCAATGTTACATTCAAGAAAAAATACATCAATTTTGAAGAAACATTTTTACCTGCTGCTAGATTAAAATTAATTCTCATGCCCCTTGCTTGTTATAAAGTATTTACTTTTTTATGAAATGGATGTCAAAAGTGCATCCTTAAATTATTTTATTCAAGAAGTATTTGTAGAGTAATCCCTGGGTTTTAAAAATCACAAATATTCGGATAATGTTTTCAAACTTAGAAAATCTCTTTACGTTTTAAAACAAGCTCCTAGAGCATGGTATGAAAGATTGAGCAAAATTCTATTGTCAAACTTTTTTTTTAATGATATGATTATTGTTTAAATTTATGTTACTGATGTTATTTTTCGTATAACTAATGTCTCCCTTTGTGAAGAATTTTCTAAATG